GGGAGGATTAGGCCAGCTGGTCTTGAAGGCTTTTGCCAGCTCTAAATCCTATCATCCTCTGACACACCTGAAGACTTTTATTATGATGGCTTTACATTCTGCCTTGTACTAGAAGGATTTGTGCCCTTGATTCATGCCTGCTACTGATAATAATGTTAGCTAGCATTTACACAGTGTTAAGGTTTGCAAAGCATTTTACAAATATTGTCTCCTTTTTTCCTTACAACAGCCCTGGAAGGGAGGTGCTATTATGATCCCCATTTTATAGAGGGGGAAACTGAGGGAAGCAGAAGTTAAGTGACTTACCTAGGGCTGCACAGCTATTAAGTGTCTGAGGCTGGATTTGAATTCAGGGCTCCCTGACTCCAGGCCCAGCACCCTGGGCCTCTTTGTGTTTCGTCTTCCTTCCTTAGAACGCTATGTCTTTGAGGTCAGGGATTGTCCTGCTTGCTTGTACGTGTATCTCCAGTGCCTGGCACTGTACCTGCCCAGAGGAAGCCCTTAGTAAATACTGTGGCATGCATCCATCCTCATCTGGGCACTCATGCTAGACAGTGACCTGCCCCAGAAGTGGGGTGGATGTGCCGGGGCAAGAACTTGCTTGCTGATATCCTCATGCTACCATGTGGTGCAAGCCCGTTGTTAACACCCCCAATCTGCCCATGATGCAATCCAGGGCCATCTCATAGCCGGCCCGCTATCTACTAAGGGTAGGCATAGGTGCCAAAGCCCTGGCACATACCAAAGGAATGTTGTGGGGCAGTAAGAAGGGGCACGTAGGAGGAATTCTGGGGAAAGGGGAAATACTGGTGTGACCTGAGGAAGAATGACCAATCAGGAGAGCCATAATCCGTCCAGCGACTGAGGCGGCTAGAGAAGTCCCCCAGAGGAGGCTGAGCCCTGAGCAGGGACAGAGCTGAGGGAACCAGCAACCATCCCACGTGCTCCTCACTCGCAGCAGAGAGAGAGAGGAGGGGGACCCCTGGAAGGAGATAGCGTATACGTCATCAGAGGAGCTTTCTGCAGCCCGTGTTTTCTGCTGAATCACTTTTCTTTGTCACAAAGGAGAGTTCGACTTTGCGGAGGTGGGTGGGAAACAGGATGGGAAGACCAAAAAAGCCTTCAGAAAACATCTTTTTTTGAGAATTTAAAGCCAGTCAGTGGCCGTGGAGATGTGGTCTGCTGCTGTCTAAAACTGGCTAAAGCAGAGCCGGCTGGCTGCGTCCTCACGCCTCCACCCAGGATGCAGTCTGCTGTCCCTCTCCTGGCTGCCTGACTGAGGCATCCAGGCCCCTTTGGGTGCTCGGTGTCAGCCACCACAGTGCGCGTTCTGGATGTCTTTCCACCAAGCCAGGAAGGGTTTTAACCACTCACAGTTCCAAGGATTTGAACACAGAGACTCGTCCCCAGGAGGTGGGCTGTGACAGGGGATGAGCTTTTTTGGTGGCGGCAACCCTTGAAATGGATAAAAATACCAGGCAGCCAGGAGGCCAGGTGGCCCCTTTTGCTGCCGCGGCAGCAGAGGCGGAGTGGCGGAAAAGGGAGCCGACTCGGGCTGAGAACCACACGCTCCTAAGCCACCTCCAAACATGCATTTTACTGTTGGTATTCTAAATATACAATCTTTGGCCAGTGGCCAAGTGGCATTACTGGAAGAAAGAAACACCATCCACGTTGACATTTTCTCCATCTAAATTAAGTCAGAAGACAGAAAATGTGACTACACATACAAAGAGTCTGCAGATCCTTGGAGATGGGACCGAAGGAATTGTTTTCTTCTGGTAGCCCAGGACAATAAGGAGCATCCCCTCATGGGACGCACTTGGGCAGCCTCAGAAGTCAGAGCTTCCTGGGATCACCCTTTTCTGGGCTTGTCAAAGGGCTTATTGTTGACGTCCTTGCTGAGCCGTGGCCCCCCCAAACTGAACCACATCCTCTAGATAGATGTGGCTCTAACCAGGGCAGGAAACAGTGGGACATGCATATTGAGCTTGTGGTCCACTCAAACCCCCAGGTCTTTTTTCACATGAACTACTGATTAGACATGCCTGCATCTTCCGTACATCTATTGCCAGTGCGATGATAAATCTGGCTACTCGGCCAAAGGATAGCAAACACCTGCTTTCTCTAACTGACGTCTTGGTCAGAGACCAAGAGCCACTCCCCTCCACACAGATAGCGGGATGAGGATAGAGTTCCCTGCCTTCTCACACCCACCCAAGGCGCAGTGATCTCTCCTACACAGCATTCATAGCACTTGGTGGTGGTGGGGGGGTCTATTCATTAGCACCCAGTCAGAGCCTTGTAACTTGTCACATTCACCACCACACCGGCCACAGGTGTCCAGAAGGGTGGATGCAGTCCATTCCTGAGCCCAATTTGTTTCTGTTAAATCGGTGATATTCTATTTCCCAAATAATGCTAGGAACAGTGTGCGTTTCTCTGGTGGTGTTTTTGTGTCAGGCATTGCGCTAAGCCCCGTGGCAACAAAGGAAGGAGAAGATGGTCTCTTCTTTGTAGGAGCCCGCAGTCACGTTGTGTCTGGCAAAGGGCCAGGGCAGGTCTTCCCTGTCCTCTTTGTCCTGCTCTGGACCCTTCACGGGAGAGGGGGGCTGGGAGAAGCCTGGGTCATGTGCCCTGGAAGGGTGGCTGGAAGCAGGGAGGAGTCTGGGTTAGCCAGGGATTTCACAGCTTCACCAGAGGAGGCTGCTGGGAGCCTGATTCCCACCTTCGAAGTGAGGACTGAGCCTCAGAAAGGCTCCACAGCCCAAAGAAATGGTGAAGCCAAGATTTGGGACCAAGGTTCCCCCTGACCACTGCCCAGCCTGCTCTCTGCTGCCCCCTGTTGTCATGATGCTGAATCAGTGAGGCAGGATGGAAAATGGCACTGTGTGCCTGGCAGTAATTGTGGTGTGGTGGAGAAGAGGCCAAGCAGTGGTGCCTGGGTGACTGAGGTCTCCAGTGGAGTGCCCTAGGGATCTAGGGAGGTGTGACATTTGGAAACAGGCAGAGGTGGCATGCTAATCAAGTCTGCACATGATGAGAAGCCAGAAGGGATAGCTGAAATGTTAGGTGAGCAAATCTGCATCCAAAAAGATCTCAGCCGGCTATTGGGCTAATCTAATAAGATGAAATTTAGCAGGTAAAAAACGACAAGTCTCATACATGGATTCAAAAAGTCCACTTTACAAGTACAAAGAGAGGCGTGGCCAGACTACTTCCCTGTAAAATAGATCTGGGGGTTTTAGTGGACCACAAGCTTAATGTGAGTCAACCATGGGATGTGAGAGCTGGGAGGGGGCTGATAGTGGGGGATGGCAGGAAAAGGGGCTTAATGATCTCTGAGCTCAGTCACCTGCCATCATTGGTGAGGAATCTGGAAAGGAGACCAAATTCCGTTGTTGTCTGAAGTCACTGAGTTAGGTACTGGCAGAGCCCCAGGGCATCACGGCATAGTGTGACCCTGGCCTCGTCTCTCCTCCCTCTCAGGGCCTCAGTTTTCTTCCTCTCTAAAATGAGAGAGTTGGCCTGGAAGGCCTGGGCAGCTGGTGCCTCAGTGGATGGAGGCATGGGCCTGGAGTCAGAAAGAACTGAGTTGGAACCCAGCCTGAGACACTACGAGCCGTGGGACCCTGGGCAAGTCACTGAAACTCTGTCTGCCTCAGTTTCTTCAACTATAAAATGAGGATTTGACATGATGGCACCCACGTGCCAGGCTCGCTGTGAAGGTCAAATGAGATGATGTTGGTAAGGGCCTCAAACAGTGTCTGGCACATAGTAGGTGGCATTCATCTCCCCCTGCTCTGAGTGTAGGACCTCATGGATCACTCTGCCAGTCCACAAGCATTTCTAAACACTTACAACGTGCTTGGACCACTCGGCCCTGTGGCCCTGGTTCTGACATCTTCCCTCTCAGGAACCCTGGGACAGCCTCAGAGATGCTGCAGGATGGTGCCCCAAAAAGTCAACCCCACGTTATAGATAAGTGCAGCCTCAGCTGCTCAGTCCTGTGGAGTCTGGTCTCCGATTCAGCGCCCACTGTGACAATTCAGATACCAACTTGTCTCTGGAAAGGCCTTTGTCTCTCTGGGAACTTCCTTCCCTTTGAAATAAAGGAAACCTTCCTGGACTCTCCCCTATCCCCTCCAGTGAACCCTCCTTCCTTCCTCTGAGACTCCAGATCCCTTGGCGGGGAGGGGACACTCTGCAAACCAAGGTCTCCTTCTAGGGGAAACAAAAGACCAAGCTCTGCCCCCAGTGGCCCTGGGCAGTCAGTCAGTCAGTCAGTCACACATTAGCTCTGGCCGGTGGTGTCCTCCCCAGACCAGGGATCTCCCTTGTAAGACGGTCATGTCTGTCACAGGTAGAGTGTCTGTCCTCGTCCACCTGCCTCCTCTGGCGTCCAGCTCTCTGGGGCTTCTGTGGTGAAGGGGGCAGGGGCTTGGTGAGAAGAGCGTCAATGGCCCAGCGGGAGTCAGGGGACAAATTCCAGCCATCGACCTGTTTGCTCATCGATCAAATGGAGAGCCTCCCCTTTGCTCCACCCTCCGTTCAGGAGGTCATTTCAAAGGAATCACTTTGTAATTACCGAAATATAGGCTACGATTTTGTCTCCTCCTCGATTTAAAGGAAAGAGAATTCAATTCAACAAAAATCCAGGCATCTCATGACCTTCTTTCTAAACGTTCGAGGCATTGTGTGAGGCTCTGGGCAGATGGAGACGAAATGGTCAAGGGGCTCACTTCCTGAGGGAGTCTTCAATACAAGGTTATGTGATGGGGGGGGAGGAGAGATCATGACAAAACAGAGAAGGAAGAGAGGTCAGGGAAGGTTCATGCAGAGGGGGCACTGGAGGTGCCTTCCTTCAGGAAGAGAAAGATTTTGCGTGGCCAAGATGAAGGGCAGCATTCCTGGCAGGGGGCACAGCATGTACAAAGAGCACAGAGACGGGCGGTGACAGTGACAAAGTCCAGTGTGCCAGGGAGCCAGAGGGCCCAGGAGATGGGAGGGAGCCTGGCTGCAAAGAGGAGCTGAAGCCGGGTTCTGAGAGGCTTCCGTGAACCTGCCTCTTTCCTGGTTGGGCCTGTAGCCTCTGGAGCCTTGCTGAAGAACGGTGAAGACGGGTGTCCCTCTGAGCCTGTGGGCTCTCCCAAGGCTCTCCTGGTCTAGCCTAGGAGTTCAGATTTAGCCATGCGGGGAATTTACCTAATTGAGGCGAGTAGGCCCCGGGGGGCCAGTTCCCTGGGCTGTGTAAGTACATGCTTGCGATGAAGGGTGCACAGCCATGGGTGCGGTAATGACTCCTTGGTGGTTTTTCCAATAGTCTATGTGAAGTCCATACGTGCTTGCCACTTTAGAAGGTCCTTGGTTTTTCTCACCTGGTAGGCCGTGTTAGCTTATTTGGAGCTATTATGGCCGAGCGCTTGCCATGAGAATGGGGGGGCTATCCACTAACTGCAAATACACATAATACAGATCTGGATGAAATCTCACTGAAACTCCTTAGCCGTTCATCGGCACTTGGGCCTCTTGGATAGTGCTGAGGCCTGGATTGTAGCCTTATTCACATGTGGCTTTCTCTCCCAAGAAAAGGCTTCATTTGATTCCTAACCTCTCCTGCCCCTCGGAGGCGGAGGCGCGCCCCCCGGGCCCAGCCTAGTGTCACCTCCAGGTAGCTTCTCCCAGCCCAGCCCAGTCCAATCTAGCTCAGCCTGTCCCAGCCCAGGATGTCCCAGCCCAATCCAGCCCAACCTTGCTTTGCTCTGGTCAGTCCTTGGGAGCAGATTTGTTCTCAAGGATTCATCCCTCCATACGGCTAGCAACGGAATAAACTTTCCTGTTCTTGGGCCTGATCATCCTTCTCTGCTAAAGCATCTTTAGGGTTCTTTCCCCCCTCTTCCTCTTCTCCTTAAAAAGTTCCACATTGGCCCTGCCCTGCCTCTTTGCCTTTGTTGAACTTCCTTGCTGTGTGACATTGGGCAGGTCACTTACCCTCTCTGGGCTTCTGTTTCCTTTTCAGCCAAATGGAGGGCAGTGGTTTGATAACCTATGTATGGCCCCTTCCAGCTCTAGGTCTGTGCTCCTCTCATCCCCATTATGCCATAAGACTTCCCAACAGAAAAGCCTTCCTCCTTAGGAAGCCTTCCCTGGTTTCTCCTAGGGTTTGGAATTAACCAGAATCCTGCCCTCAGGCCTCAAGAGTCAATACAAAGCCTTTGTTTAGGCTATGCAGTTTTTGAGTGTGTGTGTGTGACCGGTGCGGGCATATGACCCACCATTACTAGAAATCATGGTTATCTGTGTTGGCTTCTGACCTTTCTCCTTGCCTCCCTCCCCCACCCTGCACTCTATTTGAAAGCTTCATGAGAGCATGGAATGTATCTCAGAGTCTGGGTCCCAGCCCCTTAGGGGGCTCCTAAGGTCTCTACGTAGTAGGTGATGAATAAACACATCAATGATCTTTGTATTTCTAAGTGTCTGAGGCAGGACCCCAGCCAGGCTGGAATTCAGGTTCTGGGCTCATTCCAGCCCTCTCCCACTGTCCCCCTCAGCCCGGGGTCTCAGGATCTTCTCAGTGAAAACCTTAAGCTCTCAGCCTGTGGTCATGCCCAGCCTTTAATGTGGGAGGAAATGAGGGGGAAAGCCAGGCCTTGGACCGACCCCCCGGGGTGACAGCTGGCCCCCAGAGTGAGAGTCTAAGGATGAGCTTTGTCGGTTCCTTTGCAGGCTCACTCAGACAGCACTCTTTTTGGCCTTGTTCTAGATAGAATCTGTTGAACATCTATCTGTGTGTCAGTGGGCCTTGTGCTCAGAAGCCGCCAAACTTCAGGGAGACACGAATTTTAGTTCCTGACCGAGGAAGTCTTCAGCAGCAGCAGCTACGAGACGCTGCCATTTAGGGGAGCCTGGGAGGGACCATGAGCCCCTGGGCCCGCTCCCCGGGGCTGGGGGCGGGTGGAGGAAGGCAGCTACTTACTTAGTGTATTTTAGCTTCGGTTTAGATTTCATTTCTGCTGCTGCTGGGTGGTGTCTATAGCAGGTTGGGTGCTTTCATGGAGTGGGCTGGCCCTGGCTTCTGAGGACTTGGCCCAGGCACGGCTCCAGGCAGGTTCTTCTTCCGTGTCCCAGGTTGGTGCATGAGGAAGACACCTTCAAACACAATATCAAGGGGCACTCCTGTGACCTGGGCAGGGCCTCACAATGGCTGCTCTCAGACACCTGGCAACTTCAGCCAAGCCCTGGGGGTGGCCTCCTCGGGGACAAAGTCTGGGCTTCGGTCCCAGTGCCTCCTTTTCTGGGGGGCTTTATTGAATGCCCTGTGTTCAGGAGTACGCTATCTGGCTGCCTCCGTAATACTGGACCTTGGCAGGGCCATGGCATCTCCAGGGTGTTCTGGAGGCCCAGAGGCCAGCCAGTTCAAGCTGTGTGTGGGTTGGAGTAGGCTCTGCCCCATTCCTGACAGCTGGCCATCAGCAGCTAGAGGAGGTGCCTTCCAACCCTCTAGGCGATCCATCCCACTTTGGGACAACGCCATTGCTAGGAAGCTTTCCTTGCTCTTGGCAACTTCTCTTCACAGGCCTCCTTGGGTCTCCTCACCAAGTGCAAAAAACGGAGTCCGTCTTCCATGTGCTGGCCCTTCCTCCTCCCCCAGCCTCAAGAACGTGGGTCTTAAGACAACTGAATTGGAGCCTCTAATTCAACCCACCTCCTTTTACAGATCAAGAAACTGAGGCTCAGAGGACACAGACCGTAGAGGGTGGAACCATGGCTTCAATCTTGTGCTCAAGAATTATCTCAGGATTCTTCTGAGAGAAGTCCTCTTGCCAAATGTGGTGTGTATTCTGGGCATGTCTGGGGAGCGTTGGGTTGAGTTCTGGGCATTCCTGGTAGGAAGGAAGTCGACAGGCTGGAGGGGAGGTAGCCAGGATGGTGGGGTAAAGACTGGTTGGAGGCTCTGGGTCTACTTGTCCTGAGAGCTGGCTCCAAGCGTTTGCAGGGCTCACAGGGAGCGGGGACTGGCCTCATTCTGTCTGGCTCCAGAGTCAAAGGGACCTTCCCAAAGTGTGGCTCTGACCAGTCCAGGTTCCAGTCAACAAGCTCGTCCAGAATCAGATATGAAATCCTCTTAAAGCCCTTCCTCACCCGGCTGCCTTGGACCTTTACAGTCTTTGTTCACCTTCCTGCCCTGCCAATACTCGGGGATGCAGGGACCCTGGCCCCCGGGCTGTTCCTCGCAAAGAGCACAGAGCGGGAGGCATTTGCTCTGGCTGGCCCCCACGCCTCCAGCTTCTGGCTTCCCTGGCTTCCTCCAAGCCTCGGCTAAAGCTGGCCCTCCAGAGAGCCTCCTGACCCCCCCAATCCCAGTGTCTTCTCTCTGATGTGATCTCCACTGTGTCCTGCGCACAGCTTGTCTGTATGCAGTTGTTTGCATGGTGTCTCCCCAGTAAGGGGTGCCTGCTCTAGAAAAGGGGGCTTTTGTTGATAGGACAGAACGTTGGAGCTGGGAGGGATGTCACCTGAGAGATGAAGAAACGGCGTTAGAGTGGAAACCGATCGGGGATACCTCCTGATGCCTGCCTTGTTCAGGGCTCTTCTCCTGCGATGGCTTTTTTGTGAAAAGAGTTGCCTTCATCACCTCTTCCCGGCCAAACCCAATCGCCGAGCCTCCCAGACACACTGTCCTTAATGGTATTTCAGCTTTGTCTCCTTTGCTCTCTCCACCTCCGATTCCCAATGAAAGATGTCTATCTGGTCCTCAGGATCCAGTAGCCGATGTGTCCCAAGGCTCCCCCGGCTAGAGCCACTAGATGGCGCCAGAGAGAAGTTCCAGCCCATCCCTCGCAGATCAAGACGTCCTTTCGGCCTGGCTCTGTGGTTTTGTTTTAGGAGCGTGGGAGTGTGGGTTCCAGCCAAGCGGAAGTCGGCTTACAGGGGCACATTATCCTCCCGGGGAATCTGTGCTATCGGTGGGTTCTTTGGGACTAGTGACTTTGCCATGGAATCTAAAGTCAACAAACGTTTATTAAGTGCCTACTGTGTGACCAGCATTGTGCTAAGCACTGGCGACTCTGCACTTCTGATGAGTCAGAGGGTGCTTTTGGTGGGCCGCGCTGGGGTTCGAGGAAGCACCCTACCTCACACTCCTGCCAAGGTGTAACCCGGGCATGCCCACTTTAGCTAAGATGGAGCCCCCTGTGTCCTCCACTATGAGGGCAGCCTCCCTGATTGGCCACGGTCTTGGTAAGGCACTTTGGGTGACCCACCGTTCAAAGGTGAGGCTTCTGATCGTCCCAACTGACAGAAGGCCACGGGGACCTTGGTGTCAAAGGCTGGCTCTGGTCTCAGAGACTCCTGGGAGCCGTGGAAGCACCAAGCCCCACGTCCTAGCCCATCCTCCCCCCTTCATGTGCTTTTACTGTAAGTCAAGCTTCAGGTGTTTCGTTAGCACTCTCTACCAGCCAGGGGTTGTGCTGTGTGCTGGGGCTACAGAGAGAAAAAAAACAAGTCAGCCCCTGCCCTCAGGGAGCTGGCACTCTACCAGGGGAGCCAGTATGTACATATGGGAGTAGGTACAGGATACATACAGAGTAAATCCAAGGGAATGTTTCCGGAGAGGAAGGTGCCAGAACCTGGAGGGATTGGGAAGGCTCCTTGTAGGGGGTGACCTCCCGAGCTGAGTTTTGAAGGAAGCCAGGTATTTGAAGAGGTAGCCATAAGGAGCAAGTGCAGCTAGGCAGGGACAACAGCTAATGCACAGACCTGGAGGTGGGGAATGGAGCACCGTGTATGAAGGGCAATAATGCTGCTTTGACGTCACGTTTGAGCTCAGGTCTTCCGGAGTCCAGACCCAGTGTTCTGACCACTGTGCCCTGTAGCTGCCCAAGCTTGCTAGAGACGCGTTGCAATGGTCAAATGGGCCTCCTGGGAGTGATATTGATGGGTTTTGCTTCTAGATCCATTCTATAATGTTTTAAAATAGGAGAATTTAGACTATTGATGTTTATTATTTCTTTTCCTGATTCTAATTTTATTCCATATTTAACAAACACCAAATAGAATGGTTGGGGCAACTGGGGGGGTGGCGCCAGGCCTGAAGTCAGGAAGACTCATCTCCCTGAGTTCAAATCTGGCCTCAGGCGCTTTCTAGCTGTGTGACCCTGGGCAAGTCACTTCACCCTGTTTGCCTCAATTTCCTCATCTGTGAAAAGATCTGGAGGAGGAAATGGAAGACTACTTTAGTATCTTTGCCAAGAAAACCCAAAATGGGGTCACAAAGAATTGGGCACAACAGAAATGATTGAAGAACAACAAAACCAGAATGGGCCTATGCCTATACAGCATAGACCAGAGAGGATTATGCGTCAAAATGAGGGTCTCTGTTATATTCAGCTGGCTTTCCCTTCTAGGATAAATCTGGGGAGCCTCTTATCTGGCCTTCCTTCTCTTTTTTACTCTCCATTAAAGAATAGAGGCATCGATGATCTCCCTCCCTCCCTCTCTCCGTCTCTCTCTATGTGTCTCTGTGTCTGTCTCTGTGTCTGTCTGTCTCTCTCTGTCTCTGTGTCTGTCTGTCTCTCTCTGTCTCTGTGTCTGTCTCTGTCTCTGTGTCTCTGACTCTGTCTCTCCTCTGTTCCCTAACTCCTCTTATCCTTTCCTCTCACACTGAAGAAAAGAGAAAGAGTGCTCTTGTAACAAATATAGTCAAACAAAAAAAAAAAATTCCTACATTGGCTGAGTCTGAAAATGTATGTCTCATTCTGCACCCTCAGTCCACCACCTCTCTGGGCAGCAGGCTTCATCATTAGTTCTCTGGAACAGTGGTTGGTCATTGCATTGATCAGAGATCTTGGGTCTTTCAAAGCTGTTTTTCTTTACAGTGTTATTGTGTAAATTGTCCTCCTGGTTCTGTTCACTCCCCTCTACATCTGTTCTTATGAATCCTTCTGAGTTTTATCATTTCTTACAGTGTGGTCGTACTCGGTGACATCCCCACATCATAACTGGTTCGTCTCTTCCCCAGTTGATGGGCACCCCTTTAGTTTTCAGTTCTTTACCATCACAAAATAACTGCTGTTTTGGTGTGTGTGGATATATCCCTTTTTCTTTGTTCTCTCTGGAGGATAGGCTTAGTGGTGGTCCAAGGGTATGCACACTGACGGTTCTGAGTGAGAAATTTGGTTTGTTTTCCATCATCACCTTTTTTTGTGTGTTGGCTAGGGGGTGTGAAGGCCCTGTAACTATTCAATAAATCTACCGATTATTAAAACTATAAAGGAAATCTGTCTTTTTCTTAAGACTTTTTAAAACTTATGCTTCTCTGAGATTGAACCCCCCCTTTTATCATAGGTAGCACATTCTTATTTTGCTGGTTGTCATCACCTTTCCTTTTCTCCTTCTTTTGTAGGTGCTTTCCCCCTGCATTTCCATCAAATCCTTTTTTGCTAGTAAATTGGGATGTATTTTAGGGTTTGTTTTGTGTTACTCATAGTATGTAACATTTAATTCTCAAATAAAAACTGTTTCTTTTGCAGCAAATAAACTTTATACCCCTAATTCTTATATTGCTCTATGTAATGTTCATCTGTATATCCATCTATTCATGTGTGTGTGATCTTAGCTGCAAGTATTAATAGGTTTTGAGTATGTGACCGCAGTGTAATGGCCTCCCTGGGGAGGATACAGGACAGTATCAGATTCTTTCTACTCCTGTCTCCCTTCCGGAAGAGGGTAGAGCTGAGTGCTCCCAGGCCTCCCCTGTTTCCTCCCTGGGGCTTAGGGTAGATGACCTTCTCTTCAGTCACAGACTCTCCTCCCTTCTCCCCTCTTCTCTCATGCTGAAGTCCAGAAACTCAATCAGCCACATTCTGTTAAAACAATTAAGCTCACTTTATCCTAGGGGGATAGTTTGTTGATCAATTTTCATATAATACAAACTCCATAAAATATCGGAGAAAGTGACCACATGGACCTTGTGGACCCGATGGCCACCACATCCGTGTAAGGCCTTTCTTTGTTGTTTGTGGAATTGAAAAGCAAACTCTCCCAGAGCCCTCCCCAGGTAGGAAAGGTCCTGATTTTTGGGCAGAGGTTTCGTTTTCTGCTCTAATTTAAGTTCTGTATATTTCCAGCCAACTTCTGGCCTCCTCAGTTTACCTTTTCTCATCATGGAATAAAGTACACAATCTAAACTTTCATAACCAACTCCAGGTTTCTTTCTGTTTGAAGCAAAATCAGGAGACAGAAAATAGCTTGGGTAACGGATGAGAAGCCGTTTGGAGCCTGCCTGCATCCTTAAGGAGGTGACGCCATCTGACGCTTTAGTCCGAATTCTTTGCTCCAAGGTGCTGCAGGGACCTCACCCTGACTCGTCACAAATTGCTCTCTCCTTGTGGCTTCTCAGTTTTTTTCCATCTCTGCTCACCCATTTCCTCTTGGCTGTTGCTACCTCCCTTGGCACTTTCCTGGCAACTTAGAGTCCCAGAGAGTTACCCAGTATGTGTCAGAGAGCAGACTGGACCCCAGCTCTCCTTAACACATAGACCAGCTCACTGTGCTTCATACTGCTTCTCATAGGAAACGTGTGATACCAGCTTCAGTAATATCTCTGACAGACACTCTATACAACCGTTACTGTATCTTTAAGAGGCCACGGAACCTTGGAACCTTGTAGCTAATTTTCATTCTTTGAGAAGTCGGTGATCAGACTGAGCGTCTGACTGACTTTCTGGAGAGTTAATTAACTCTGATGGCTGAAGAGCGACTGGGAGGAAGACGGCCAGAAAGGACTAAGGCTGCTTATTTCTTGGGAGAATGGAATTTAACTCTTTATCCTGTGAAGAAACATGAAGAAAGCTCTTGAGAAAGGGGTAATATTACTTGGTATCCTGAGAGATCTGAATGGTGGCCTCATGTTTCCAAAGTTGAGAAGAAGTCATCAGTTATAATGATGATAAAAGGTGACTTTGTCGGTGAAATATCTCAGCTGATGCATTATAAATACTTATGGCTTTGTTTTATTGTTTATTACACTGGTAATAAATTAGGGGGAGAACCTGTGGCCTTGAGGCCTCACGTGGCCTTCTAGTTCCTTGTGCGGCCTTTTGATTGAGTCCAAGTGTTACAGAACAAATCCTTTTCTTTTTTTAATTTTTAATTTTTTAATTTTTAACATGTGTTTTTAAAACTTTGGGTTACAAATTTTCTCCCTTCCTCCCTCCCCACCCACCCTCATTGAAAAGGCAAACATCTCGGTACAGGTTATAGATGCGTAGTCATGCAAAACACTTCCATAGTAGTCCTGTCATGAAAAACTAAGTATATTTCCCTTCATCCTATCCTACCCCCCATTTATTCTATTCTCTCTTTTGACCTTGTCCCTCCTCAGAAGTGTTTGTTTTTGATTATCCCCTCCCCTCTATCAACCCCCTGCTCTCTCCTCCCCTTCCCCCCTTATTTTCCTGTAGGGTAAGATAGATATCCATACCCCATTGTGTATGTGATTCCCTCCTTAAGTCAAATCCTATGAGAATAAGATTCACTCATTCCCGCTCACCTTCTCCTATTTCCCCTCCATTGTAAAAGCCTTTTCTTGTCTGTTTCATGTGAGATATTTTACCTCATTCTGCTTCTCCCTTTCTCCTTCTCTCCATATAATCCTCTCTCACCCCTTAATTTTATTTTCCAGATATAACCCCTTCATCTTCAACTCACCCTGTGCCCTCTATCTGTCTATCTATCTATCTATCTATCTATCTATCTATCTATACATATATGTGATTTTTTTCCCCTCCCACTACCCTAATACTGACAAAGGACTCATGAGTTACAAATATCACTGCAGGAATGTAAACAGTTCAACCTTAATAAATCTCTTACGATTTCTCTTTCCTGTTTACCTCTTCCATGTTTCACTTGAGTCTTGTATTTGAAGGTCAAATTCTCTATTCAGCTCTGGTCTTTTCCACAGGAATACTTGAAAGTACCCTATTTCATTGAATGACCATTTTTTACCCTGAAGGATTATACTCAGTTTTGCTGGGTAGGTGATTCTAGGTTGTAGTCCTAACTCCTTTGCCCTCCGGAATATCATACTCCACGCCCTCCGGACCCTTAATGTAGAAGCTGCTAAATCTTGTGTTATCCTGATTGTGTTTCCATAGTACTTGAATTGTTTCCTTTTGGCTGCTTGCAATATTTTCTCCTTGACCTGGGAATTCTGGAATTTGGCTACAACATTCCTAGGAGTTTTCCTTTGGGGATATCTTTCAGGAGGTGATTCTATTTTGCCCTCTGGTTCTAAACTATCAGGGCAGTTTTCCTTGGTAATTTCTTCAAAGATGATGTCTAGGCTGTTTTTTTTGATCATGGCTTTCAGATAGTCCAATAATTTTTAAGTTCTCTCTCCTGGATCTATTTTCCAAGGTCAGCTGTTTTTCCAATGAGATATTTCGCATTCTATTCTATTTTTTCATTCCTTTGGATTAGTATTACAGTGCCTTGATTTCTCAAATTGTCCCTAGTTTCCAATTTCTCCATTCTAATTTTAAGGAAGTATTTTCTTCAGTAAGCTTTTGGATTTCCTTTTCCATTTGGCCAATTTTGCTTTTTAGGGCATTCTTCTCCTCATTGGCTTTTTGAACCTCTTTTGCCATTTGGGTTAGGCTATTTTTTAAGGTGTTATTTTCTTCAGTATTTTTTTTTTGGGTCTCCTTTAGCATCACTCTCATTTTTTCCTCTACTTCTCTTACTTGCTTCTCAAAATCCTTTTTGAGCTCTTCCATGGCCTGGGACCAATTCATATTTTTCTTGGAGGCTTTGGATGTAGGAGCTTTGGCTTCGTTGTCTTCTTCTGGTTGTCTGTTTTGATCTTCTTTGTCACCAAAGTAAAATAATATAGTCTAACTCTTTTTGCGCTGCTTGCTCATGATCTCAGCCAATTACTTGAGTTATAGACTCTTTGTTAAGGTAGGGGGTCTGTTTCCAGTGTGGAA